CCGTTGGCGGGGGTCTAGATTTTGAACTAAGCAAGATCGTAATAACGAGTTAAACGTAACGATAAAAACCAAGACGAGAATGCTTGCCTGAATAGTTTCCCTATTGGCGGGGTCTACATTTTGAACAAAACACGAGTTTTATATCCAGTGAAAATTTGTGCCGATAAAAACCAAGATGGCCGTGTTTACCTCAAGAGTTGCCCTCTTGCGCATGGTTTTGGTTTTGAACAAAAAGGAAATATAGTACGGGTGAAAAGTGGTTACAAAAACCAAGACAAGAGTTCATGTCTGAATAGCTTAAGAGTGGAATGCCTGAAAGGGTTGACCTGTTGGCGGGGGTCAAAAAGGACTCAAATTTAAGACGACCTAGAAAAAAATTAACATTCCTGTATTATTGCGGGATATTGTTTTTATTAATGTCAACAGATTCCATTGATTAGCAATATTGCTTCATCCTCAAATTTATGAAACTGTAATGAAAGTTGTGAATGTGTTATAAGCAATCCTTTTTGGTGACTTATAAGCCAAGAATTTGTATAACATTGTAACTGGCGAGATTCAAAGTGTACTTTGTGTACTTTGAGCGTGGAAGCACGAGGGATAGCGGCTTGGATTGAAAAATCGGAGAGACGAGTTCGAATTCTAGTCGAGTTCATTGAAGTCACCGCCGTGCTAATACCCTTCATTCTATTCCATGTCTTCTCCCCTGTCTATTGGAAATAACAAAACGGACGGGGTCCCATAGCCTTGGGTGGCAACCAGTCTAGGAGAAAGAAGCTCTGGATCCAATCCGGATCGCAATATCTTAAATGTGTGTATACGTTTCGAGTGTTAGGGATCGCTTGTGAATACAAATTCCGAATGAAAGAAAAGGAAGAAGAAAAAGAAAGAAAGAAAGAAAGTAGAAGAAAAAGAAGAAGAAGAAAGAAAGAAAGAAAAGAAGAAAATGGAGAAGAAAGATGAAAGAAAGGAAGAAGAAGAAATAAAGGAAGAAAAAAGAACAAGAAGAAAGAAAGAAGAAAAAATAAAAAGAAAGAACGAAGAAGAAAGAAAAGAAGATGAAATAAAAGAAGAAAAATAAAACGATGAAGAAAGAAAGAAAGAAAGAAGAAAAGAAATAAAGAAAGAAAAAAGTTGAAAACGAAAAAGAAGAAAGAAAGAAAGAGGATGGAGGAATAGAGTGTTTTACAGTGTCTCATTAAGCTAAATGAATGTTGAATAGAGGAAAGCAAAGAGGGAAAGTAGAAGAACTAAAGGATGTAAATGAAAGAGAAAGAACTGAAAAAGGAAAGAAAGAAAATGGAGAAGAAAATGAGTAAGACGAAAAAGAGGGGAAGACTTACTGGATAAAGAAAAAGAGTGAGAGTGAGAGGGTATAATGTTAGAGGAAGACAGAGAGGAGTTATAAAAAAAAGATCTTATTGTTTCTTCTTCTCTCTAATTTCTCATCCACTGGTGGGTCGAAATGCAGAGCCTCTCTTAGGAATAGCAACAATGATTGAACCAGATTCTTTCATCAAGACCCCAAAATACAGTCTTGTCCAAAGGCTTAGGACCACCTGGCAACAATTAACATTTCTCTATTAAAGTGTGTATACGTTTAGTGCGTTTCGGGATCGCTTGTGAATACAAATTCCGACTGAAACTCCTACATTGGAATTGAATGTCCGAATGAATACGGCCTCTGCTCCCCTTGGTCAGCTTTTGTTCAGATACAGGTTTGTTTAATAGAGCCAGCTCAATCAACTGTATGAATGCCGCAACAGGTACAGGCTACTATAGGCAATTTGACTGATTCTATCAAATTGTTGCTTTTTTGGGTATTATGAATTTATAGCAGCAAACCTGATGTATGAAAAATTATATTTTTCCTGTCAGAACCATGGAAATCTTTGCTTTTTTTTTTATTAATGGTTCACCACCAATACAAGGCCCAAGAGCTACTCAAGGTAGAAAGTTACTGAATGAAGTTGTTTTATGAACATAAGAAGATTGCATTGATTGATTCAATGGATCTGTTATTATGGCTTATCAAGCTTTTTGCGGGTTATTTAAAGCCAGAAAATATTTTTAGATTGTAAGAAGAAAGTGGGTCTTATAGCCTTGTGTGGCAACCAGTCTAGGAGAAGAAAATGACTTCAAACCGTATCTTACTATCTTAAAAGTGTGTATAAATGCAGCTAGGGAGCACTTGTGAATACAAATTCCAACTGAAGCTCCTATATTGGAATTGAACGTCCCGCTGAATACGGCCTCTACTACGATTTTGCTCAGGTGCGGCGGGGGGGGGGGGTTATATGACAGTGAATGCCGCAGGTATTCAGAATGGCAAATCTCAGTTCAAGACATAAACCTGCTGTAAAATTTGAACTCATATGTTTTATCTTCGGAGGGATGGCGTATCCCAATAGAACTGTTAACTGTTTTGTTATGGAATTGCGTCGGGGTGGGTCTGTATTTACACCTTTGCTACTCGAAAATCAGCCTCTTTTATTCTTTT